GCGATTTCTGATATGCCTTTTTTTAAAAATTTACTGTACGTTCAATTCTCATATGTTTTTATACTAATATAATACTAATGTTTTCTACATCCACGAAAAGGAATCCAGAGCCTCTCCGGTAATTTTTCTCTTTAATATACATACTAATATAATACTAATGTTTTCTACATCCACGAAAAGGAATCAAGAGCCTCTCCGGTAATTTTTCTCTTTAATATACAGCGCAGGGGTGGGGGGCAGCATATGTAGGTGCCTACCCCTCCGTCCGCAATCGCCACCGCCGAAATTCTCTGGTCCGCAAAGTCCACCGGCCCTGTTCCGCCTGTCCGCAATCGCCACCGTCAAAATATGAGAATCCGCAAACGCTACCCGATTCTTAGAATCCGCAAACGCCACGTCCGCAAACGCCACCGCACCGAGTTGGTGAAGTTATACGAGTGGTGTTTCCACGTGTCACTCTGAAAAGGACTATACCCTGAATTGTGATACATTTATACGCTTTCTTTAGCGACCTTTCCGGGAACAATTGAATATGCTAGCAAAGTTTCGTCTTTGAGGAACTTCCTATAATACACACACCCACACGCCACTTCCTCAATTTATTCTCTTCTTTTGGAATGTCCTCTCGGAAATTAAGTATATAGCTCAATGCCGCGTTCCACTTTTTTTCTCCTTTTGTGAAAATGTATTCCATGTGATTTAATAGCATTATAGAAATAAGTAATTATCCAGTTATTACTTTTATATACCCTTATGAACATACATTAAGATAATTGTATATATTTCCTCTTAAGAAGGTTACAATAAAGAAACTCTTAAAAAAAAAAAAAAAAAAAAAAAAAAAAAAAAAGTGGTTTAATGTTTTAAATTACCTATGTAGATAAAATCGTCAGAAAGATCCAGCAGAACAACCAGTTGTTGATGGAGCAATACGCATAATATCTTAATTCCCGTCGTTAAAATGAGGTGAAGGAATAGCGATGACTAAAATTACCTGCGTCAAATTTGACATGGTGAAATAATAACCGAATTCATTTTCCCCGAGATGGGGTCCTCGGTCGCTGTTTGATTGGAAAATACTCGTTCGTGAGTTGCTTTTCCCGCGGAATCGCCGTCCAGTTAGGCAACCCGCTCCGCTCAGCCTCTTAATAATATTGATTCAACCCCTCAGCGTTGATCCCGCACTTCCCAGAGGTGCTGTCATTCCGCAGTCAGGCAACTGAACGAGAATCGATTCGGACACATAGAGATTAGAAATTCATTAGGACGTGTCCTGACAATTTTAGTTCACCATTAATTTCCAGCCGGCGTTCGCCCGTTGTCGCGGCAGAATCATTTTAAAAGCATTTCAACGCTTGCCTCAAAAGAAACGACGTTTGCGGAGTGTGCTTTTAGTTTAAAAGCTAGCCCTTGTCAATGGAGGAGGGAAAAATAAAAAAAAGGTAGGTGAAATGCCGAACCCAGCCAGCGATTTAATTCTTGAAGCAAAATTAATCCCGAGGGATAAACGCGACAGTAGAGTACAATTTTAACTTTTCGGTAAAGCACTGGATGACGGTAAAGTTAGTGAAACCTAGATATACATATCCGCAACCAGCACTACGATACTTTACGTTTTGACACACGATCTCATTTAACCTCGCAACCGAGGCTGATTAACCCCTGGCATGAATTAACTTAACCCAAATCGAATTAAGTTAAGTGATCCCAGAGTTTCATGTCACACAGCGCAGGAGAGAGGTGGAGCGGTTTACCTGTCTCTAAAAGTGTTTTCACGATGGAATTCTTTAGATGTTTCTATCAAGTTTCAATTTCGTGAGAATTATACAGGGTGACCCATAAGTTCTGCATCACCCTCGTAATCCATGATGCTCTTGCCCCATGTCAGGGAGTTATGTTTTTTAAAACTTGTATTGGAGAGATTCTCTCATAATTTTCGTGGGTCCCAAGAGTCGTGTTCTTTGACCCAGCCAGGGGCACTTACAAAATTTCAAGTCCCTATCTAAATTTGTTTAAAGGCTACGATGGTACCGCCTAGCGCTGGTGGTGTCGGGCTTTTGGGTCACCCCGTAATTGTCAATTTTTGATAGTACTTAATATAGCATGTCGACGGCGTAAGTCCTCAACCATGTATCTCGTTTACGGTGTTTTTAATCTCCGCTCTACTTCATTTTTTTAAAGGAATGCAAATCGTCATCATTTCGAGAAGTTTTCGCAGAATATGCTTGACACCGAGAAGCAAAATTACAGCAGGTTTTAAGAATTGCCATTGAGTAGTTTTTCATTTGAAAAATAAAGTATGACAGGAAGTCTGTGACATCGCAAACCGAGATAAGGCGGTTGCGGACTTACACCATCGATGAGTAAATCGATTTTTTTACCTCACTGTTATTCTAGTCGAATTATTCTGATATATATCCCATACTAACCCCTGTCCAAATTTTTCCCGTAAATGTTTTCTCTCTTCAACCGTTGCACCTCTCTTCAATCTAGCAATAGAGACTCTTGACGTTGTCACTGCACTTAATTCACCTCCATAATATTGGCAAGCATACGGATGCGAATTCGTTTTTTTGCCCCGGCAAAACTTTTACTGTTCCATTTCCTAGAGCGAGGTTTCCAGATCGTCCGATAAAATATGGTTATTTTAAATAGGTTTAAATAGGAAATCCAGCACTATCTGGCGACAATGACCCAGAAAGTCCGCCGTGCTCCGATTTTCCCCACGCGTCGAGCCAAAATCACTACCCGGTTCCGGATCGAGTTTTCAGTAGAAAGTGATGGATTTTCAGACGGAAAGCAGACAAGCCAAGAGAAATAGAAGCAGTAGAAGGGAGAGGAGGGGCAAGTTCAAGGGCAAAGAAAGAACGATCTTACTTTCTTGGCTTTGCGGATTACGGAATGAATTTGATCGAGTATTAGGATAGCGCTAAAAATATTAGTCGTGACAATATCCCAGGTAGCACAATCCCATGAAAACATTAATATCATTTTACTTGTTAATGCAAATGAACTTGCGATTTTTTGCATAGAATTACAATATTTTTACACCATTTGGTCGATAAATGTCGATTTCAAACAATCTATAAAATGCTCCATGTGAGCAAAAGGTAGGCAATTTGCAATACAAAAAAATTGCAATTTTCTTGCAAGACACAATAAGAATAGCCCCTCAATTATTAAACTTTGTTCCTAAAATGAACCAGTAATACGATGGCCAAGGTGCAACACCACATATCTCGATTGTGGTGCTGTTAAAATCTCTGCTCCTCGAAAGGGAACAAGACAACTTTATAATTTGAAAAAAACAACATATTCCACTGACATACAAGAAAAATCAAGGAATTTTTCTGGAAATTACGGTGACTAGATTTTCACGGAAAAAATTAACGGCGCAAACTGAGATACGTGGTCTCGCATTTTAGCCGTCGAATATTACTTCCCTATTACAGAATGTCGGCCTAAGGGACTTATTTATGCTAAAGAAAAAACTAGAAACGTGTGGAAAAGACGGGGTGTGCTCGCACAAGCTGCTTATGAAACAATGTAAAATTGGGCGTGATACGTTTTGGAAAAACGGGAAAAGTTTAAAATTAGATCAAGAGGAACTAAGTGACAAAATATGCTAACTCATGAGCCGTGAGCATGTCATAAGAGCGTTGTGGACAGGGCTCATGAGTTTAAGACTCAACTCTGCGGATCGTAATCTCCGTCGTCTCCGCTGACGTCACTGGCGCTTTATAATTCCCATTCATTCTTACGGCCCTCAACTAACGAGCACATTCCTTCTTTTCCACCCGTCCCTGGTTCTTTTGGCACAAATACGTCCAAAAAGCATTGCCAAGAATGGGATTTATCTATCGAAGAATCATTCTTTAAAGACTCAACGATCGTTTCGCTGCAGCGGACTGATTATTGAAATTGATAGACAAAGCTATAGACAAAAAGGATATAGGGAGTATGAAGCTATCCTATTGGTTGAAATGTGTGCATTGGGAAAAAAAACACTTTGGATCTAGAGTCCAGACTCTTAAAAACATCGACAAGAAAAAATACTCTTGATTCAATCATATTTAAAATCAAGAACCAAGCCTCTTAATTTGAGCGGATTTCCTTTTGATTTAAACTTAAATCTGATTGAATCAAGGGTCCTTTTTCTTGTCAATGTTTCCAAGAGTCTGGACTCTAGATCCAATGTGTTTTTTTTCCCAGTGTGGTTCCTATAGACTAAAGGAGAAAATGATGGACTAACTGTCGGGTTTCTCGTGGGTTTCCGTTAGTTAGTCTGTTACCTACGTCCTTTGTCCATTGTAACCATCCGCTTCCACCAATAGGATCCCGCCATATCCCTTTTGTCTTCTTTGTCCATAGCTTTGTCTATTAATTTCAATAATCGGCCCGCAGGTCGATTATTGAACCCTAATTGAATGACTTTGATCCATAAAGAGCAGTGTCAAGATAGGGATCAATCACTGGGAAAAAAACACATTGGATCTAGAGTCCAGACTCTTAAAAACATCGACAAGAAAAAGTACTCTTGATTCAATCAGAATCTAGCTTAAATCAAGAACCAAGCCTCTTAATTTAAGCGGATTTCGTTTTGATTCAAGCAAAAATCCGATTGAATCAAGAGTATTTTTTCTTGTCAATGTTTTCAAGAGTCTGGACTCCAGATTCAACGTGTTTGTTTTCCAGTGATCGATCAAGTTCATTCGATATCGACTCGACAATCGATCCGTTAGTTTGCTAAACGCCATCCGCACGACAATGACGAATTTCGAAGACGATGAGAATCTGGAGCAAAGGTGGATCGTGGACGCGGAGAGAATAAATTAATATTTTTTTGCCCGGTTCGAGGGAGACGGAAAAAGTGAGAGAAACGGGATATGAATTAGAAACTTACGGATAAAGTTGCCGGGCGGAGGAAGCGGTGCTGGAGGGGGGCATGGGTCTCATTTGGCGGGAGGACGCCCAGAGGCCGATGGTAGTATGGTAGTTGGTGTTCCTCCGAGTGGCAGCGGCAGTATCCCAGGTGTAGTGACCGCAGATTTACCGTCCAGTTCGGCTCCGGACTTTTCAACTTTCGTTCTGCCGCGCGATCTCACCGACGACGACGACTCCGCGTCCTCGAAAGTCGGATCCTATCCGCGATTCTGTGCTCCATCCGACCGCGCTCTCCGCCCCGACTGATCGTCCTCGAGGATTTCGGATTCCACTTCCCGCGAGTTTTTGAAAACGACCGTTGGAGACAAGTGAGTGCAATGTCTTATCACTCAACCACGCTGCCGTGCTAAAGCCCTGGATAGACGATCAAATTCCGAACCAATTCCGATCAAAGTAGACGTGCTGATTACTGATGGTCACCATCTACCATCAAATTTTGACGGGCCGCACTATTTTGTTCAAAGTAAGATCAGAATGGAGTGCCACAATTGGACTACATTTTGCAATTTGGAACTATAAATTCTAGCCCGGTTTGAAAACAACTTAAGTGCCATTAGTTTCTCTATGCACATAAGTGTTTTTCCAGAAGAGCCAGAATTTATATTTCCAAATTGCAAAATGCAGTCCAGTTCATCATTTCCTGCCTCAGGAAACATTTCTGCCAAGTTTTCATTTTAAAATTAAGCAAATCGATGAGTTTAAGACTGATGACTCCCGACGCTTTGATGGTAATTGGTTCGGGAATTTGATCGTCTATCGAGACCTTGAGGAAAACGCCGTATGAACATTCGAGAGTTGCCAAATTTTCTCTCAGAAAGTATTTATTTTTGAAGAAAGTTATGGATATTTTCTCTTGAAATTTTCAGAAGTTTTAGACGGAATTAAGAACGAAATTCTCCGAAAAAATCGGGGAAAACTATTGAAAAAATTTCCCGAAAATTCGTGATTTGTCGAAGGAGATTTGGCAATAGCTGATGGTTCATACGGCGTTCTTCCTTATAGCACGGCAGCACGGGAGGAAGGGGCATTCTGCACTGTTCAACTCCCAAGAGTCCAAGACCCGGAGATTCCACAATTTTCACAGTGCCTCCCTGGTAAAAATTAGCTGTAGGAGCTGAGTTCCAAAATACCATTGGCATTTTTCTAGCTGGCTATAGAAGGCGACAGAAGGTGATAGAACATAATATCACTGAAAAAGATTGGTATAGAATTAACCATTCCTTCACGCTGTGTGAAATACAACGTGAAGAAATCGAAAATTCTACCAATCTTTTTTTTTTCAGTGGACAGCCGGGCTATACGAAGCAATGAAAAATTACATAACCGGGCTATAGCTCCTATCGCGAGGCTATATAGTTTGTCGCTTGGCTATAGCTCTCATATCTGCTGGTTATATCCTCATCACCATCGGCCATAACAAGCTGTAAGAAATCGTACAGCCGGCTATAGAAACCCATGAGCAATCTTACAGCCGGCTGTCAGTCTATGGTCTTTTGTAACACAGATCCTATAGGCTATAGGCAATTTTTACCAGGGTTCAGCAGCCTGATCGTTGAAATTTTGTTTGGTGACCCAATGAAACAAAATGAAACAGGAATGGAGTCATGCAATTGGTCAGCTTTACCAATCGTCCTTTTTTCGTGCCGCTAAAGGATGGATTTGACCAGCATCTGACCAGATTATGCCAACTAAATGTCCCCTAAGTGGCAACTCAAGGGGTTCCATTAGATTCTCGTTGATTACACATCCTTTACCGGCACGACAAGGAGGACGACGCCCAAACCGACCAATCACATGACTACATTCTCATGTGAACACGGAGAAAAAAAACCTCGTGCATGGGACCCGAAGTTGAGGTCATATGGCTCTCTGAAGTTTTCTGATCACGCATCCGAAAACTTGAGGTCGAGCTGCCGAAGTTCGGGTCAGACATCGAGGCGCACTTCGGTATGTACCAGAGTGCTTCAGATGTGTGACCCGAACCCTTCGGTATGTATCGAAGTATTTCAGATATCTGACCCGAACTTCGGTGGCTGAACCTCAAGTTTTTAGATACATGATCAGAAAACTTCAGGGATCCATAAGACCTCAACTTCGGGTCCCACGCACGAGTTTTTTTCTCCGTGAACAATACGACTTAATCGGCTAATGCGAAAACCGCCCAAGTCCGTTTTTTCTTATTCAAAAAAGAAAATTCAAAAAGATTGTATACTGATGGGAAAAGTTGGGGCACACATGGACCGTAGATACGGAGTTGCACATCGACGCGGCCGTGATATTTGGTCCATGTACCGCTCTCTCGATTTGTGTTAATGTGCTCTCGATTCTATGAAGCAAGTCGCGGAACCAACTTTTCAAATGAAACCTAACTTTAGGAATAGCTCCGTTGCATGTACTGAGAATACAGTTGGACGAACCGGAGCACGACATATATGCAGTACTATGCTTACGGTTCATCGAGCGAACTTTTCTTCTCCATCTACAAGCCTTTTGATCACCGTCTAAAAAGTGTACCGAGTCTAACTTTCGCACCCTCTACATCCATTACTCAACTTTGCTAAAAGATTCTCTGGATGGAAAGTCTCATGAAATGGGTAAAAACTATGTATTGTACCCAGAAACTTAGTGAGTCTGATTCTATCACTAAATCTTTGAGGAAATTACTGAAAGCTGAGGGAGGTATCCTCTCGATTCATTCTTTTAATGGGTAGATCAGTTTTTCTGTTTCAAATCCATGTAATTTCTGTAAAACCTGATTCCCTCTTACTTGCGCGAGCCAGGGAAAATAGACTAATGCATGCTCTTAGAGTCAAAATAGACTTGAGGATGGGTTGTAAAATGAACTAACGAATATTTGTCTTTAAGAAGGCCGTGGATTCTTGCTTTGAAATTAAGTTGAGGAAATTGAGTTTTCGACGAAAAAAGTTTCACTGGGGTCCTCTTTCATAAACGGCCAGCATTTTTGCGTTTGTGTGAGAAAGTTTATTCTTGTGTCGATAGAGCAGGGCGTAAAGTAACTCTAACTCCTGAACGCAACCATTCGGGCTCCATGGATGTCCGTGTTGCATACGCACGCAAGTGAAGGCGTTTGTTCCTCTCTGCTTACCGCGCTCCAATTCGTCGTTTCCTGGAGGAAGGAACGTAGCTTCATTCCAAGGTTGCAAAATTGACTCCAGCAATTGAATTTTTTTGCAAGAGTGTACCCATGCAATTTTTGTCCAAAATATGTTTGATTTTTGCATGCTATCAGAAGATAAATCCGTGAAGTTTTCAGTTCGAAATGTCCAAGATCCTCCTGGTGAAATTGCAATTTGCGCGAGGATATTTGGCAACATTGAAATGGAGTTACGTTCTTTCGTAAATGAAACGACAATTTTTTTCTTTTTACTACTTCAAATACCACACAAGTGGTAATCCTGCGCTTCCACTTGCCTCACCCTCTCGGTCACTACTATGTACCAGTCTAAGCAACCGTTGTTTGAGACCATCAAACTCGAATCGTCTAGCCGGGAATTGAACCCGGAACCTCCTGATTATAGGCCCAGCGCTACAACCATTACACCCCAGGAGGCCGAAAAATAAGATAAAAAGTGCACACGGAAAATGACGTAGGAAAATTAGACACAGGCCGCTTCATTTATGAGAACAAAGGGGTAGGAAAGGGTGCTTAGATGGGTTGGGGATGCTGGGAACGGGCCGGGGGGCGGGGGGGCCGCGGTTTCCGCGAGAGAGAAAATTGATATTCAAATCAGGGAAGCAACTACGGTACACGCTCCACGCGGTTCGTCGCACAATGTATCGAGTCAATAGGAGAAATCGGACAAAATTTGGAAACTTTAAGCGCTTATAACTCCGTTTGCACAAGACTTTGGAGTTGTAAAAGTGGTTTCATTGGTTTTCTCGTGAAATTTTCTTCATGAAACACCCCTTATAGTTTAAAATTTGACGAGATGAACATAAAAATTTGCAGTTTTAGTCGGAAAATTCATGTCCGACCTCTGTAATTGACTCGATCCACTGTGCGTCGTTGGCCGTTGAAGCGGGATCGGGATCCCAGTTTTGCGACGGAATTATGTGCATCATCGCCTAGATGACTCGGATCCGATCGCCGAGTAGGTATCGTACGGGATTGCCCCCTAATGGCGCATCGTTGCCGAACACGGCGAGCAAGCGCATCTGGTTCCACCCACTTTTGCCAAGTTCCCGCCGGAATTCCGGTGGAGAGCGGACACTCGTGCACTAGCTTCTCGATTCCCATACTGACGTGCTAAGGAAAAACGCCGTATGAGCATTCAAGAGTTGCCAAATTTTCTCCAATAAAATGTTCATTTTTGAGGAGAGTTATGATTATTTTCTCTTAAACTTTCAGATAATTTAGATCTAGTTACTAAGCAAATTCTTTGAACAATTGAACGGAAAATATTCTCAAGTTCTCCTAAAAATTCAGATTTAATTGAAGGAACTTTGGCAACTAACGAAGGTTCTTACGGCGTTTTTCCTAAGCACGGCAGTATACATGTGAACCGTTTCGAAATTGAACCGATTACTTTCAAAATTATTTAAGCGCCAAAACTGCGAATGCAAGGAAAACAAGAAAAACCGTATACGCTTTGTAGACAATCCTCGAAATCCAAAAAAAAGTATGTTCTTCTAGGAGGCTATTTTTAATTCGGACAGAATTGATTATACCAGAGAAAACAAAGAAAAAAGAACCCATCTACCACCAAAATTGAGATTGGCGCTTACGCGATTTGGAAAATAATCGGTTCATTGGAGATGTTGCATGTGTGAGGAATTTTCGATTTGACTGTTGATTCTTATGTAAAAGTTCGCGAGAAACACGATAGTGCCACTGGTTTTCTCTGAAATCAACTCCCAAGCTCAAAAAAAGCTCTCAAGTTGAGGCCAAAATGGAGGGAGTATCCCACGCTATCCTGAGAGTCCACCTCTACATCAAGACAAACTCTCCATGCAAAGATAGAGAGCAAATACATTGACAGGGCTGCCACTTTATTTGGGGACTCCTGAAAACACGGCAACCCTGCTAATGTATTTGCTCCCTATCTTTGCATGGAGTATTGCACGCATTGCGAAATGCTTGAAGTATCCCCTCAAGTTTGTAGGAGCCACTGCGCGTCTCGCACCTACAAACCTAAGGGGATACTTCACGCATTGCGCAATGCTTGAAGTATCCACTTAGGTTTGAAGGCGCCAGTGCGCGTTTCGCGCTGAGCGCCCGCCGCGCCGCAGCGTGTCATAAACTTACCCACATTCAATCGGTCAGGGTGTTTAAATCTTGGCAATGGTG